CCGGGTGTTCCGGAAAGCCCGGACAGTTGGCGCCAGATTCGATTTTTAGGCAAAAAAAGTTGTTTTTATCATCTAATTTTAAACAAAATTGTGGATATTGATTTTGTAATGGCTAAACAAAATATTGAAAATTTTTTTCTGACATTTTTCCGGAGGTGGGATCGGACGGAAAATTGTATTTTTGAAGCAAAATAACTTTTTTTTTCCTTAAAAACCAAGTTTTTTGTTTAAAAATTCTCGAAAATTAATTAAAAAACAATTTTTTTGATAAATGTCGACCAAAAATACCCATCCGGACCTTCCGGGCCGGGCCGGGCCTTCAACGATTTTCGCAAGTATGCATTTAACTCGGTTGAAACTGACAAGCGGATTCTAAATTTATCCGAAGGGTTTGGATAGGCTATACTCGACATATCCTGAAATCATCAACAAAATCTGTGTTTACAAGGTGTTGGGTTCCCTTGTTAGAGTAAAAAGTAAAACAAAAAAAAAGACGTTTACTTTCAGATGTACGGTTAGAGAGTACGAGCTCAGGTGCGAACACATGCAGAAACAAATACACATTGCTAATCAACGACGAACAATGCTCATCGAAGAACTCGACCAAAATCAGCAAAGCATTGAAGCGAGTTATAATAATCGATTAAAGTGAGTTTCCAGTTTTCAATTCAATCATTTCATTTTGGCTAATAACATTTTCATTCAAATCTTTTCCTTTAATCAATCTTTGTTATCTCTATAGAGAAATGGAGGAAAGATGCCGAGGCAGAATTGCGGCAATGGAGGAGAAGTTTCGAATGGAGAGGCAGGAAATGCAAAGAGAATTGAAGTCGTAAGTGTGATGGAGGGATAGAAAACGCAATAATATGAATTGGAATTTCATTTCAGATTGAGAAGGATCTGTCGTTGGTTCGACATAATGAAACATCGCTAAAAAACAAGCTGCAATTAATGGAAAGGCACAACAAACGGATCACAACAGAGTTGGAAGATCAGACAGAAGCAGTGAATGTGCTGGAGCAGGAGAATCGAGAGCTTCGAGCCGAGTTGAGAAAGAAACAACAGTTCCGGGTGTCAGAGGACAATGCAAAGATTATGGCTTGGAAACAGAAGGTGGAATTGATGGTGGCGCATAATAAGGTAAATTGGAAAACAAATTGAAAGGAAGGATACTGCGATTTTGAAAACTAAGATTCTAGTATTCCAAGATTGAAGTTTACTGACAGTTTGTAATTCGAAAGATTCTGAGATTCTGAGATAATGAGATTCTGAGATTTTGAGATTCTAAGATACTGAGATTCTGAGATTCTGAGATTTTGAGATTCTAAGATACTGAGATTCTCAGATTCTCAGATTCTCAGATTCTCAGATTCTCAGATTCTCAGATTCTCAGATTCTGAGATTTTGAGATTCTGAGATTCTGAGATTTTGAGATTTTGAGATTCTGAGATTTTGAGATTCTAAGATACTGAGATTCTGAGATTCTAAGATACTGAGATCCTCAGATTCTCAGATTCTGAGATTCTGAGATTCTGAGATTCTCAGATTCTCAGATTCTCAGATTTTGAGATTCTGAGATTCTCAGATTCTCAGATTCTGAGATTTTGAGATTCTGAGATTTTGAGATTCTAAGATACTGAGATTCTGAGATTCTGAGATTTTGAGATTCTAAGATACTGAGATTCTGAAATTCTGAGATTCTGAGATTCTGAAGCTTCAAATCTTCAAGTTCTAAAAATTAGGAATTTTGAAAATCTGATATTGATGACCAACAAAAATCCTTGATAACCAAAAAATCTGTTTCAGCGATTACGAGAAAAACTGCGTGACATATCGAAAAACACCAAATGCGATCTCTCCTCGGACTCTTATATTCAATGGACACCCCCATTCCGTAGTCAGGTATCTTTGAACTCATTTTCCGGAATCTAACTGACTTCTCTCATTCCAGCTTCTCCTTATTCGAAAGCGTCGAGTCCAAAAAGGCGACACACTATCAGAAATGGACAGTGAGCCCGAATCGATATTCTATCGACGGCGGCGGAAACGGTTACACAAAAAACGGGATCGAATGCGTCGATATGAGACAATTCATAACATACAATCGGGTTCAAATCGTTTGTTGTTCGGGGATGTTTTAATTTGTTAATAAATCATTTTTTAGGAGTTAACGAGGATGGAAATCTAACTGCGTTCAGTGAAAATAGTAGGAAATCATTGTAAGCAAACAGAAGATTTGGGAAATACTGAAAAAAATTATTTCCAGATTATCCCCAAGGAGTCGAGGAATGTTAACATCGTTAAATGACAATGATCAAAACATTTCCAGCGATAGATTACTGATAAATCGGGCCAAGGTAAGCGTCCTTTTCATATGTAAATAAAATCTTGGTTTCTTCTTCAGTCGTTACTCGAAAAGTAGGTTTTCTTTTGAGGCAAGTCCAAAAGTAGCAAAGTTCGTTGGTCAGCTTGTTGTTATTTGTACAGTGAAACTAGTAGTGAACTTTCCGCATCCCCACTTTGCTAAATATAGATTTTTCTATCTGGCTTTCTTTCTTATCCATTTTGTTTTTGCATTGAGTTTCTCTTTTTCCTTTGCGTTACAGTTTTTAGCCAAAATATAGCAGCCTATTGCTTTGTGAATGATTGCACCAAATTTTTCCCAATTTTCAGAATTCGGACCGAACAAAAAAGTCCACAACGGCATTTGATGAGCTACCACATGTGAATGACTATCAAGTGGAGATAAAGGTAGCAGTCGAAATTGTAGAAATTGACTACGAGGTATTTTCAGATGCTCCATTCTTCGATAGCTGCTCAGAAGCAGATGTACGAGGGTCAGATTCTCAACCTAACGAGGAAGCTGGCCCAAGTTCATAATCCCGAAGAGTCGTCATCAAGGTTGTACTCGCTGTTTGACAGATATAGGTGAGTATTTTGTGTGGGTAACTTGGAATACATAAATTGGTTTTCGTCTTCAAAATATATCTCATCTTTCAACTCTCCAATGATATCGCCCTATTGAAACATTGAAAAATTTCAGACCAACTGACTCGGACTCCAAATCGCCGCGATCAATCGGCATGGAGAAGAACGGGTCTTTGGGTCGGATAGCAAGCAATTTGTGTGCAAGATGCATCAAGGTGGAGCCAAAGATCAATGAGTTAAACATCATTGTTGGTGGATCTGTCAAGAATATGGCAATAGAGGATCCGGTGCCAACGATTATGAATAATGTGAGTTTTTCTAGAAAATCGAGACTCTTCATTTGCACAAAAAGTGATAACAATATTAATTGATTATTTTTTTTCAAAAATAACCAGAAAAGTTTTCACCTTTTTGCAAATATCACAGGCTCTTTTGAATCTAACCAAACTTCTGTACTAAAATTTGAGAAGGTTCCTCACTTTTTAGGTTGAGTTAATTTATCGCGACTCCTGTCAAAGATATAAAAAAAGTATCAACTGATAAGTTGTTTATCACAATATTTCCAATATTTTATCAATTGACAACGTTTTGATATCTTCGAGATAATTAAGCTCAAAGTGCACTTGAGATTTTTTGAAAAGACTGAAATATGTTTACCTCTAATACAAGTCCACCCAAACGGATTTTTTTAAACTCACTAATTTTGACTTTTTGAAAGATTTAAAAAAATCGGCTCTTTCCGGGAAGAACGGTCCCAAAACAGGACCGTCGGTCCCATCATCGGACTACCGATCCCAAGAATTGTGACAACGGTCCCAAGGGTACGACAACGGTCCCAACCAGGTTTAATCTGGAAACCCTATTCCCGAAATACAGAAAAAACGGAATGGTCTTTTCAAAATCCTGTGAAAAGGTTAACATTTCACTTATACTTGGGAATTTCAGTTTTTTTGACAGGAATTTTTCACAAAATATTTTTGTATTGTATATTTAGGCCAAAACGTCTTTGTCCGGCACTGATGTGAACAAAGCGTTTTAGCCTAAGCCTGTAATTATAGACAAAATACATTGTAAAAAAATTCCAGTAAAAAATTGCTGGAGTTCTCAATTATGTTTCCAATAGGGTTTCCAGATTAAGCCTGGTTGGGATCGTTGTCGTATCCTTGGTACCGTTGTCGAAACGTTGGGACCGTTCTCGGGACATTTTGACCGTTTTCGGGACATTGGGACCGTTGTCGAAACAATGGGACCGTTGTCGCAATTCGTTGGGAGGGGGTCCGGTGATGGAACCGACGGTCCCGCTTTGGGACCGTTCTTCAAGGAAAGAGCCAAAATATCTGCTAATAAATTGTTCATGATAAGATCATCAACATTTTAAAAAGAAATTGATGGTTTGGGTAGGCTTCTATTAGAGGAAATGCGGTATAACCATTTGCTCTAAATTCCAAAAATTATTTGGTTCGGAAAGAAACAGAAATACTTGAGCTTTTTTTCAGGACCACCTCCATACTGAAGTTGGACGTCTCAAAGCTCGTCTCACATCAGCCAGATGTAAAGTGGCCGAAATCGTGGCGGTGATGGCACTTCCGCTATCAACATCGCGAAGCCAACTGATGCCATCCAACGAATTTCAGTCATCCAAGTCGCAACCATTTTCCATTCGGTATGTGACGACAATAGCTGAATCACCTGAGAGGGCATTATCATTTACTTCAGAAGCCAGCGATCATTTGCCGATCTTCGCGAACGGACGCCATTATCCGAAAAGTCTGAATCATCTCGTGATTGTGTAATCGATCCGTCGCAGTTCACTCCATCCAGCATTTTCACGAAACAGCTATAATAATCTGTTTTATGTGTATTTAGGTTTTCTTTTTCTTTTTTTCGTTTCATTTCCATTCACAGTTCCCAATTTTTCACTTAATATTTTTTCAATTGCATTTTTTCTCAACTTTCCCAGTTTTTCAAAAATTTCCAGCTATTAGTTCTTCTTTTCTGATGCGGTTTTCCTGAGGGTAGTATCGAGCTTTGTTGTATAAAACGCAATTTTCTTAAGGATTTTCAAAACTTTTCATTCATTTCCAGTCTTTTTCCAAATTCCCGTTTTCTTGTCTCCGTACAAGAGCTTAACGAAATCTCCCTGTTCTTATTTTTTGATGTGTTTTCAGCGAATCTAGTCAAGTGTCTTTCAACTTTTCGAAACAATAAATTTTTGCGAATTTTGATTTTTTATGCTGCGCTCGTAGAGACATCCTCAAAAGTTTGAAACAAATTTCGAAAAAGCCAGGCTCTCTAAAAATGGAAAGAATACAAATCTCGAACCAAAAATGCAAAACCGTGTGATCGCCAACACAAAAGGACACGTTGGCATTATATATCATTTTCAATGCTAGATTTTTGAATTTGTATTTAATCTTCACTCAATATAACAGACTCTTAATCTACTTCAATTTATGGGTTTGTTGGAAGCTTAGAATTTCAACTTTTCAAAAAACGATTTCTAATAAATTATTTTTGACTTTTAAGACAGATCCCAACTAATTAAAGAAAAAAATTTAAGTTTTGATTTTTTAAAATTACCGGGTTGCGGATAACTAGTGTGTTTCTAATTCGTTATTTAAACGAGAATTTTGAAGTTCTCCTCTTTCAAACTTTTGGTATCAACTTATTCTAAAATTTTCGTCTTACCCCTGTCCAAATAAAAAGGGACTATAATTTTTTTTTCAAAGTTTTCAAACCTACCGTACCCCAACCATAACTTTTAGATTTGTTTTTATTACCGAAAATGGGATTTTCAGTTAATGTCTTTTAGCATTTTTTCTCTTTTTTATTGAGTCTAATTGTTTCCGACATTCAGATAATTTATCATAAAATGCAAATTTTGAAATCCAAAAAAGTTTAAAGAAATCTGCATTCTCCCGTCTTTGGAATTTTTTCTTTAAAAGTTTCTTATAAGGGATCGTTAAAAAATTAATGTCCTGCCTCCGCAGTTTTTAACGATTTCAACAAAAGGATTACGGTAGTTTTCAAGTTTCCCTTTTTAATTCTTTTTCAATGTTGAAATTCCTATCTTCTCCACCTCAACTCCAATTCCAAAATAAACGAGAACTCATCACATTTTATTTTTCAAGTTCATTTGGCTGGAGCCTCTCCATCCGAAAAGTGAGAAATGACGTGATTCATACGATTCGTCCTTCTTGCCATCTTCTTGGAGGATCCCCAATTTCCGCAGTTTTCTTTCCCCCGGTTTTTTCTTCCACCATTTTTTATTCCCGTTTACTCGCTCTTCTGTTTTCTATCCCTGGCAGAGTCATTTAGTCAATCGGGCATCGTTCGGTGAAACACAGAGGGGAGCGGAGAATTGAAGAAACGCCTATTTGGATTTTATGGTTTTTTTTGAGTCCTAATCCGCGCCGCTTTTTAAGGGAAGAATGATGAGGAGAATAAGCTAATAGCGTTCAGTGGAACGTTTTATAAGTGCACCCAGATAAATTCAACACCCAGAGGATCCTGGCCGTTACAAAATGCATATGTTCACAAAACAAATGCCATTTTGAAAACCGACAACGCATTACACGAAAAGATGCTGCTTCAAAATTCATCATCAGGGGACGAAGACCAGAGGGCAGTGCTTAGGGCAGATGTGCATCATATTGAATGATGGATTGTATCTGTAGGGGCGTGTACATTGTCCTGTTCTTCTTTCTCCTCGAAATAACCCCGCTGTTGGTGGTTCCCTTAAACGGCAATGACACTGTTTGTGTCAAGAATTTGGTATCACACATCCTTTATGTCCACCAAGACCATCTGTCATCAGGCGACGCGGTTGTAGGGGGGTGGTGGTAGACGGGCGGAGGGAAATGGGCCGAGAGAGAGAGAGAGTGCTCATCTGCACTTTGACTCCTCCTTTTTTCTTGGGAAGATCCTTCAACATTTATTTTGCCTTTTGAACACTGCTAAGAATTTTTGGATCAATTTCTTCGTTAAGAATCCAAATGTGTCCCTCTGATGGCTTTTTTTTTGAATTTCTCGTCTTTTTACCGAAATGTTCAAAAGAGTGTACCAACCAACAGCGAAGGATTTGTACAAATCGCTCAATCTGAAAAGTTTCCAACACGCTTACAGTAACCCTGTCTAGTCATCGTTTTTCTTAAAAACGTAGAACTTGGAAAAAGAAGAAACAAAGTTAATAAGTGTAATAGGCTTCAGTAAGAACTTCATTGCATGTTTGGATGTATATTCAAAACTTCTGATTAGTTGCTTATTTCAGTTTTTGAAAGGTGAAGAAAGTCGTTTTATGCCTTTTGATGAGGCCAATAGAAACGGAGCTCTACAGACTTTTTGTTACTTTTTGCATGTACTCGTGTGTGGTGAACTATTTTCAATAGTTTGAATGTTGAAAAAGCTGGGAATCAAAAATATTGTAATTGCTTCAATTGAAGCTTACCATATACATGCACTTTGAGCTCAATTATCTCGAATCCAGTGAAGGATATCAAAGATTTGTCAACTAGAAAAGTTTTTCCGTGAAATTACCGAAATTTTATCAGTGTGCAAATTTTTAGTATTTTCCACAGGAGTTGGGATGATTGAGCTCAAAGATAACGATATGGGTGGCCATCGATTAGAGAAAATACAGTAGTAGAGTATTCAATCACAATGTACGGCGTAGTGTTCTCACCGTTCATTTACCATATCCCTATTTCCACGGTGCTCTGTCATCCACAATTTTCGTGAAATATACATTTTGAAAAAAGCAAAAATGATATGATATTCCGGATTTTTGAGTCAGGCCATCCTGAAACTGAATGCGCGGTTTATCTTTCAGCCTTGCAACGTCATTTGGACAAGTTGTCCAGAAGAAACCCGAAAATTCAGAAATAGAAAATTATAATTTCTTGGGCTCCGCGACGTTTCGAAAGCGGACGTTTCGCAAGTGTGACGTTTCGCAAATACGACGTTTCGCAAGTACGACGTTTCGAAAGTAACAGCTTTGCGCTTTTTTGCATGGAAGAAAATTGAAAAACTTGTGTTAGAGTGTTTAAATGGTTTTTCGAGCAGAGTTTTGTATATTTAAAGTTAAGAAAGCATTAATTGCCGTACTTGCAAAACGTCGCACTTGCGAAACGTCGCACTTTCGAAACGTCGCACTTGCGAAATAAATCGAAAAGTGTGTGAAACAGTTTCAAAAATACAAAGCTCTATTCAAAAAACCATTTAAACACTCTAATACAAGTTTTTTCATTTTCTTCCATGCAAAAAAGCGCAAAGCTGTTACTTTCGAAACGTCGTACTTGCGAAACGTCACACTTGCGAAACGTCACACTTTCGAAACGTCCGCTTCCGAAATGTCCACTTTCGAAACGTCGCTGAGCCATTTCTTGGGTTTTCATCTTACCGTGAAAACTGTAATAGAACGTCACCCTTTACTTTAACTTTGAGCTTAATCATCTCGGTTCCTATTAGAGATATCAAAAATTTGTCAACTGGTAAAATGTTGATGATATTTTGATCAACATTTTGTCAGTTTATAGATTTTTGATATCTCTTATAAGAAACGAAATAATTGATTTCAAAGTTCAAATAAAGAGTGACTTTCTATTAGAGCAAAAACCTACCCAAAAATTTCTTAAATCGTTCATCTCACAGAATCACGAATCTCACAAATGTGTATTTCAACCCCTCGAAGTGTCTTTTCCCAACTCATTCTTGTGTCATTCTCAATTTTCAATTCTTCCTTCCATCACTCTTCCCATTTCAGCTCCCCGTGACCAGTGGCTTATGACGAAAAATCACCGTGGATACCGTAGGATTTATGACCCATCTCTCTTTTTGACGTTTTTCTGTTTTTCCTTCCCAACTCATTTCACCAGACCCTCCGCCCATTCTCTTCCTCTCATTGCCACGTCTCCTATACTCCGCCCATTTTTTGGGAAGTCGGCTGAGCTCTTTTCTATTTAAGAGCATTCACTTCAAAACCTTTTTTCGGTTCCCCCACTTTTCAACGTCACGTCTTCTAGATTATGGCCTGTTGTTCGAAATTCTACGAACCCCCAAATTTCGTGATCATTTTAATTTTCTTGGCACTGTCGACAACTTTATGCATCATGTTCAGCTTTCTGGTTCTTGGCCAAGATCTGATGGTTACCACTCTGACTAGTAAGTGTTTATAAGATACATCTTAGTGAAAAACCTGTAATTTGAAGCTTCAGCAATTGCAATGGTATTATCGTTGATTGGAATCATTCTTGTTTGCAAAGCGATGCTTGGAAGATTTAAGAATCGTCAGCCACCAGTGGTTCTGAACACGATCAGAATCAACACTCAACGTATCCATATTCCGGATCGTCCACCTCTTCCACCATGTAAGTCAAGTCCTCCTTCGAAGTTCCATTCCTCAATTCCGCGAAAAAAAGCTGAGCCGGGAGGGAAAAAGGCTAATTGAGGGTTCCTCTTTTCCTTTTCAACGAAGCGGAAGCCACGTAAGATTATGTGAATGGAAGGAGGGGGGGGGGGGGACCGCGGGTCGGATGAGTGATTGTAAAATTGCACACCAAAAGAAGACGACAGTATAATTCCATCTTTTCATGCCACAATTCACATACACCCATCTGTCCCACCGCTCCTTACAAAGCGCCTTCTTTTCACCCTCTGTTCCCAATCATGTAAATGAAATGAGGGCTTATAAGAAATTCTGAATTTTTAAAAATATAATCGTTTGGGGAAAGGGGGATAAAGGTTATTGGGGTCTTCGAAGGTGAGATAACTGACATTTGCTCTTTGAGCTGAATTATTTCGGTTACTACAAGAGATATCAAAAATCTGTCAACTGATAAAATGCTTGTCATAACATTGTTCAACATTTCTTTGTTGTCAGGCTTTTATATCTTTCACGGAAAAGGAGATAATTAAAATTGAAATTCAGGTTTACGGAGGCGTTATTTTTTTTTTCAGCGTTTATTGTAATAATTCAAAAAAATAGTCGGATAGGTTCTTCCTTATTTGGAATTTTTTGAATATTTTCACTAAACCTGAAGAAGATCTATCGATATTCATTTAGATCATTTTCAGGAGTCTGGAGCTCGGCGGTCAAGTTCCCGATAGCTTTGAAAACTTTGGAACCAGATCTAGATTAGAAACTTCGCATTCACAGAATTGATTGAATATCCCTAGTTTTTCAGCTAATTGTTGATTTTTAAAAGACACACTTTTTCTGCGAGTTTTTAAACTCAAAATCTGAAAAAAGATGTCTTTCAGAAATCGGCAAAAACTGTGAAACTAAGATCTTTCAAAAATTTCTGTGAATGCGAAGTTTTTAATCTAAGTATATTTTATATCCTCCAAAATTTTCGAATTGATCGAAAACTTGACAGCCAAGCTCCAGACTCCCGAAAATGGTTAAAATTTCCGGATCAACGAAATAATGCGTTTTTGTCTATCTTCGTGGCCGGTACTGTACATGAAAAAATCTTGTTTGCTCAGAATCTAGGCTAATTCTCAAGCAGTAGTAATAGTAATCCTCTTACCAAAACAATTCCTTTCTATTTATTCTTCATATTTCTTCTGGGGGTCACCTACTGTTGGCAACATTGAATGCTGTCACATCTGTTCCCATAAAAACCGTATCTTCCCGCGCGCGGAGGAAAACAGTAGAATCATCCCGGCCTTGACAAAATGAAGCGACATCTGCTCTCCTCTCCCCCGTCCATCCCTCATCATTGCCAATATAATGATCACTTCTTCTCCTTCTCGGTTAGCACAAGTGTTTGCTGGAGAGAACAGAAAGACAAGATGCATAAAACAATGGACCATCTTGGAAAACCTGGGTGACACCCGTCTGTTACTCTAGCAATTACTTGGCCTGGGGTTTACTCGGGTTTAATAAGTGAACTAAGTGGGCGTAATTAGATTTTGTTTTAATATCGAATGAATGGTGAGAATGGTGGGAAATAATAGGAGGGATCCAATAACAGGAGGGTTTTGTTTTAGACCTGCCATCATATATGCCACCGTTCCCGGTTCCACCACCACAGATCTTGATGGGGGAGACGTCCATCAGTATTCCACCACCACCGGAAAGCAACCCACCATCATACCACGAGAGTGCTGAAATCGAGGAACGACGAATCACTGAGTAGGTTGAAAAAGATCAGAGAGGAACTAACGCTGTTTTCAGAGGATCAGGAAATTAAATTTTTCTAAACTACCGTATTTTTTTAATACATTGAAGCCCACCCCAAACCGTCAACTTTGAGTATAATTATCTAGATTACTGAGAAATATGCAAAAAAAATATGCCAACTGATAAAGTATGGAGTGATAATGTGGAAAATAGTTTATCAGTTCACCGATTTATTGATATCTTTCACAGAAATCGTGATAATTGAAATTGAAGTTTACGGTTTGAGTGGGTTGCCATTAAGATAAATACGGTATGTGTTTATAATCATGTCAGAAAAATTTTGTCAGTTTATCATTTTTCATGTTTTTTAAAAGAACCAAGATAAATTAAATCAATTTTCGAAGTCCTAGAAGCTCTAGAGCCATGTAGGTCAAAAATTTTTAAATGACCATTTTAGTGGAAAAAGTCAAATTAGAGTGTATCAAAAAGTACTTATCGCTTGTCGGTTGGGTCTGAAAAATTCAGGGATCATAAAACAAATATAGAACTTCATTTTTGTAGCTGTCAACTTTTTTGTACAATAACTTGTTAGAAAGGTATTCATCATCCAAAGAAAACACCTTAAAAATTTTGAAATTACCATTGGAAGTGGTGGCAACCTATCTTTTAGGCAAATGAGTGCACAAAAAGGTTTTAACTAAAAAAATGAAGTTCTATCATTTATTTGAATTTTATGAAATTTCAAGACCAAACGGACCAGTGATAGGTAGTTTTTTAGACACTCAAACTGTACAGTTATCTACTTTTGAGACGGGGAATATTAGCCAATAGTGGGAATGAGAATGCCGCCAATCATTTTACAACAACTAAACTTAATTTTCACCGAATTGAATTTCGCTCTTTTCAGCAACTCCAACGCACCACCGGCATACAATCGTACTAACTACGTCTCTGACAACAACATCGCTAGCTTCTCTCCACCACCATACTACAGTCCACCAAGCCCATTCTTTGGCTCTGCTGAGCAAACCACCTCCATGTACCTCTCCTCCGAAGATCTATCCACGTCTCCAGTTCCAATCTCTCCATTGCCACTACGAAATGTCCAACTGCGCGCCCCATCCCCAGTCCGACGTCATCCGGCCCGCAAACCTCGACGATCTCCACGTCAACCGAAACCACAGGCAACTGTCATCCGTCTTCAAGATGAGGACTCCGGAGCATCAACGAGCACTGCTGTCCCGAAAACTTCAACTCGGTTAGGGATCTTTGAAGTGACATCACAAACAAAATTTTGGATTTTCAGCACTCCACTTCCGCAGATGTTCATTGACTGCTCCAAAGCCGAGCCGACACTTTTCACAATCAACGGTGAAGAGTCAACTATCTAGAACCTTCCACAATATCCACTTTTTAGGCGGATTGTGGGAATAAACTAACCGATAGGTCATCTGGCTGCTTCAACTCACACAACCAAATAATTTTCGAACGATCTCTTGCTTTTGTTAATTTATTATACAGGTTCTCCTGCATAACTAAGTTATTACCTCCCGTCCGTAGTTTGCATTTCTTTATTTTCATCCTGTGAAAAAATAATTTAGTAGATTGCACCACTCCTCCCGATCCCTTCCAACCCGTTGCCAACAAAAGTTTGTAAATAAATGCTTAAGAATGTTATGACATTGATTTATTGAACTTTGAATCGGTGAATCGCATAAAAATATTGAAAAATATCATAATCCAAAAAAAGTCGCACAAAAAATGGGAACAAAGTTTACAGCTCAAAAACTGAAGCGGGCACCCATCCCATAGTGTTATCCGATTTGTGACACAATGCATACCCTCCGTCCATGTTGAGTATCTGAAACAAGAAACAATCTTATCAATTTGTGTTTAGGATTGCAAGTTAAGGCGCTAAGGTTCTTAAGAAAGACAACAAAAACGGACATTGACTTCCTCCATAGCGTGAATGGTGGCCTCTCCTTTTCTTCTCATTATGTAGTTGTGGCGGGCACGAGCTCGGATGGCTTGGAATAATGGTTCCGGTTCAGGTTGCTCTTCGATACGGAATATGTCACGGCTGAAAAATAGTAAAATATATGTATGTTAATTAGAAAACTAGACCTCTATTTTTGCTTAATCATTTTTCAATACTCCAGAAAAAATTCTAGATTACTTTTCAAGGACTTCAAATTGTATTGTACCGTATGGAATGTAACAGACCCTCATGCATACAAATTTGAGCTCAATTATCTCGATTCCTATTCAAGCTATCAAAAATGTGATGTGAAAAATGTGAAACATGTCAAACAGGCGAAACATTTTTGATTTTATGATGGACATTTTATCCGTTGACCACTTTTCGATATCTATGAGAGGAATTGATATTAATTGGCGGGAAGTCATTACTTAAAAAGTTCCTTCGGCTCTCAGTTATTCCTTTTATCAATCTTTGTTTTGCACAATAATTTTTATGTCGTTACGTTTCTCACGATTTCACATCGTAATAAATTATTATTATTATTATTATTATTATTAATATTATTATTTTATGTTTTTTGAGTACAATGTATCATACATAGCTTTTCTTCCAACTCTAATTTTTATCAGAAGCCTTCCTCCGCAAAACTTTTGGCTCTACATGATTTCAGCGGTCCCTAGAGAAAATAACGGTCCGCAGTGAAAAAAGCGGTCCGCAGGGAAAATAATGGTCCAAAAAGAAAATAACGTTCCGGAGCGAAGTTTGCCTTTGGGAATTCAGGAAAACCCCATAAATCCTGTTTTTATTGAATTTTCAATTAACAATCGAACTTTTATGTTGTTTTGTTGGTTTTTTTTACGCCCTTGTGAAATTTCGTACTATCATTAAGACAACACAGTGTTTATTATAACGGAGCAGTATTTAGAGAAAAAGTGAACAGCTTAGTAATAATTTTTGTTTGTTTCATTCTCAATGCCTTCATTTTGTTCATACATCTGTTCATCTTCATCTTGGTGTTCTCTTGCATTTTGATATGTTATGTCCGTTATAATAAAACATTGTGTTGTCTTAATGATAGTACGGAACACATGAGCGTAAAAAAATTAACAAAACAATATAAAAATTCGATTGGTAATTGAATATTCAATAAAAACAGGATTTATGGGGTTTTCCTGAATTCCCAAACGCAAACTTCGCTCCGGAACGTTATTTTCTTTTTGGACCATTATTTTCCCTGCGGACCGCTATTTTCACTGCGGACCGCTTTTTTCTCTAGGGACCGCTGAAATCATATAGAGCCAAACTTTTACTACTCCCCACCAACATTCCAAAGTGCCAAAGGGTACAAAGGACCGTAAAAGAAACCTTCGACCGATTTCGTCATCACACAATCTACAAGGTCTGCACAAAGAGTTGAAAATTTACTGTTTTACGGCGCCATAAAATTTTCAATTTTCAAACTTTGATGATTACTTAACGGCGCCTTTTGTTACTATCTCTTTTTTTCGGGAAAAAAGCCCCGACCACTTATCAGACCACCCTTTTTGGATGGTTGTTTGAAAGAATGGGGTAACTTTTGATCGAGGAATTTTTAAACAAATATTTGAAAAACAGTTAGTCGTTTTCAAACCGGACTCTCTATAATTGTCAAAAAATTGAAAATAGTGCTAAAAACTCACACATCTGTTCGCTTTCTCTGACTTCCATTGCTCGATCCCCGGCCGCCATTTTCCAACGAGTGGTGTCTGTAAACAGGAAGTTTCTGGACATGCGTTATTTCTACAAAGGATTATATGGGTCTTAGGTGGGCGCTAAGGCTCCCGTCAAAGTTTGTTTCCGCAACATGGTCAAAAAATTCAACGTGTTGCTCGATTTTTTTCATGTTCCATAAAATTTCTTTATCAGCGGAAGGAATGTTTTAATCAGATCGTGTCACCAACCCGGAATCCTGTTTTTCTGCCTCCAGTTGTTTTCTCATAATCTGACATATTTCGCAATCGTCAATTCCACGGTCACCTCGGAGGGTATCAAACTTTTTGTGGTTTTCCAAGTGGCGTAAATAGGCTCGATTTTGATCGGTGGCTACTGGAGCTCCTGAAAACAGTACGTGTTCTTTAGTTGTTATTGATAAGAATCTTGTGATGATTGATTGATTGCAATTTTCAACAAAAAAATTGATCAAACTCTGTCAACAAGTTCCTAATCATTTACGAAAATGTCAATGAGATGCTAGTTAGTCAAAATACCTTTGTGCTCGCTACCTGATAACTGAAGAGTATAGAGTTAGAGAAAAATGCACGACGCCAGACTGACGGCAAACTCTTATCAAACTCGAAATTCACTATTTTACGGCCTCTCAAGTATGGAATTTTGGGTTGCGGAGGAAAAAAAAAGGGAAAAAGGAAAAAAATCTTAAGGGTCAAGCAAACTCCAATTAGCTGATAGGGATAGTGCAAGGATTCAAAAACCAAATTTAACATTTCACATACCAGAAAGTTCAAAACTGGGCTGTGCAAAAATGGGTGTGGTCATTCCTGGCAGCACTGGGACACCAATTTGTTTGATGTGCTCTTTGGTGGACATATGACGTTCTTTATCGTTTTCATGATCCTCCATATACGAGTGCTGCTTAATCTGAAAAGATGGAGATGAAAAAAACAATTCATTTAGGCAGTATTGGAATTTCGACTGAAGTCATGAAAATAATTGATTCAAAATTTCGAAAATTGCGGGATTTTCTCTAATACATAGAAGCCCACCCCATGCTTTGAGCTCAGATATCTTGGTTCCTGTGAAATATATTAAACAATGATCAACTGATAGATTATTTATCGTAAAATCACCAACATTTTATCAGTTGACAGATCTTGATATCCATCGTAGGAAGTTAGACTTCTATTAGAGTGTATAGGCTTTCACCGCTCCGTCAAATTTGAGATTATTTATTTTGGCTTTAGTGAAAGGTATCAAAAATGTTCAATTTGCCAAATCTTGTTAATTGTAAGGCGCGTATTTTGTCAGTTGACCACTTTTTGATATGTCTTATGGAAAATATGATACATGAGCTCAAAATTAACGTTTAAACCCGCTTTCAATAATTGAAGCCCACCCTATACGTTCACTTTGATCCTTTATATCTCGGTTTCTGTGAAAGATATCAAAAAGTACTTACTGGCAAAATATTTTTGTTATAATCATAGTTGCAAAAGGCCCGGCCGAGCCGGTCCGGTAGACGAATTTTCTCGGCCCGGCACGCCTAACACAGTTGAAAAAATACCCAATGTAAAATTGGGTAATTTGTTTGAATTAAATAAAAATGTTACAATTTTTAACAAAATTAACAAAGTAGAATGTAGTCCAAAAATAGGTATTTTTTCTTAAAATGTTTGAAAATATTTCAAAATTTTCGAAAAACATTCAAAAAATCGGCGTCTGTACGAGCTCCGGGCCGACCCAAAATTTCGCAACCGTGGTTATTATAATTAACGTTTTGTTAGTTGACAATTTTTTGATATCTCCTACAGCAAATGAGATAGATGTGCTCAAAGTTAAAGGCGCTTTCATTATTAGAAGCCCACCCTATAGGTTCACTTTGAGAACTATATCTCGGTCACTGTGAGAAATACTGAAAATTGATCAACTGGGAAAATATTTGTGATGATATAATCAACTTTTTCTCAGTTGACTTTGTTTTGATATCTTCTACAGGGACCAATATAAATTGTCTCAAAGTTGAGGGGCATTCTATCAGAGTGTTCACAACACAGCAAATTTCACAACTTGTTTACCTGGAAATTTCCAGAGAAAAAATCTTTGCAAGCAAAAATATTTGTTTAGCTAGTGAAACTCATGTTCTGCTATTTTTCTGAGTTTCTGCCAAATAAAAACTGCTTACCTCTGGATAATTGAAGTTTTCATCTGGTTGCTTGGACACTGTTGGATTAGTTGGTCTTTGGAAACTTGGCTGTTTTTGTACTGACGGTTGGGACACTTCGATTGGGATGGTTATTGCTGGAAGTTGCTGAGTTTGGATTTCTTGGAATTCTGGAACATTCTGCGGGGCAAACTCCGTTCCGATTGAATTCAACGATGGGCGGTTTTTGGGTTTGTAGTTCTTTACAGTGTAATCCGGAGTTGGAATATAAGGATTTCGAGCTACTGCTGTATATGGGTTCCGGTGCTTTCCAATAGTAAAATCATAGTCAGGAACGGGTACGTGAAAACGTGACATGATCAAGTGGTAGAGTAGGACTGTCGAAATGAAAAATGAACAAAGCAATCAGAGGAGGCACCGGACTCGTTTTTTTCTTCTCCTTCTTCTGTTGTGCTCTTTCTCTCTTACCGTTTTCCGCCTCCTGCTGCCCTGTTTGCTCTTGTTTCAGGGGGCGCGTCCATCGTTTTTCTCCTTTTTTCCTACATCATACTGTTATCTATCATGTGTCCTTGATAGAGGAAATTTTTTAGTTGGGTGTGAAGGTTGAGAGGAGGGAGAGAATGGGTGAGCTCACCAAGTCAAGTTCGAACATGATTTCATTATTCATAGATTAGGCGAAATGTCAAGATATGAGCATTATTGCAGTTATCAGTGACTTAATGTTAGTGACAAATATTATTTTCGGAGAAGTTCAGGTCAGATTTTTCTGAAAAGAGGTGTTGCGTAATTTCTAAATGACTCATTATATTTTTCAAAATATGAACTTGAAAATTATTGACAGCAATTTCAATTTGATGAATCTACTTTTTTTGAAGTTAACATAATTTGTGATTGTTTTATTGAGGAATTGAAAATTGAATTTAAGAAATGTTGATTTGAAATTTAGAGACAATACTGTAGAGCGTTAGAAAAACTAAACGCCAATTTTTCATTGGATAATTCATATAGTCCCTCAATTCTGCTTTGCAAACTGCTATATTTTGCAAATATAGTCTCTGGAAGCATGAAAACAGTTTTCAGTCATTTTAATAAATGATCATACCAAATTGAAGCATGTTCTAACTCTACCTTGATGGTGGGTATGATCATATTATCCTTTCACAGTTTTCAAAATCGGAAAATTTCAAAAATACAACTTCTGAAAATTTCTGGTCTTACTGCAAAAATACATTTTAAAAATGATTGCTTTTCTCTGGAAACGTTCAGCTGATATTCCTCTGAATTGAAACAAAGTACAAAAAAATGTGATAATTTATTTGGAAAAAGTGAGACTGTTTGAAATTCAGGCAACTGAGACGCCGACAGCAAAGGTTCGTAGTCTGTACGCAAGATTGAGACCCCTCATAGTTTTTCCAACCCGATACCGGAGAAAAAACACCGAAGTTTGCATCCAAACCTTACGGGTGGAAATATGAAGTACTGCCGGATCAATACAACTGAGACGCCGACAGCAAAGGTTCGTAGTCTGTACACAAGATTGAGACCCCTCATAGTTTTTCCAACCCGATACAGGAGAAAAAACAACGAAGTTTGCATCCAAACCTTACGGGTGGAAATATGAAGTACTGCCGGATCAATACAACTGAGACGCCGACAGCAAAGGTTCGTAGTCTGTACACAAGATTGAGACCCCTCATAGTTTTTCCAACCCGATACCGGAGAAAAAACACCGAAGTTTGCATCCAAACCTTACGGGTGGAAATATGAAGTTCTGACTGGTCGATACCCAAGTGTCAGGAGAAGAAAAGAGACAATCAGCACCACTCAGAAGATCGGAAGAGGAAAGTTTTGAGGTAAGTGCAAGTGAAGAAATTAGTATAGATATTTGAGCTCTGTGTAAGGAAATGTGTTTGCAGTGCTAAAAAACGTAATTTTCCCAGTTTATTTTTTCGATGTGTCGCTTTTTAAATGAGGGGTCTCAATCTTGCGTACAGACTACGAACCTTTGCTGTCGGCGTCTCAGTTGTATTGATCCGGCCGTACTTCATATTTCCACCCGTAAGGTTTGGATGCAAACTTCGTTGTTTTTTCTCCGGTATCGGGTTGGAAAAACTATGAGGGGTCTCAATCCTGTGTATAGACTACGAACCTTTGCTGTCGGCGTCTCAGTTGTATTGATCCGGCAGTACTTCATATTTCCACCCGTAAGGTTTGGATGCAAATTTCGTTGTTTTTTTTCCTGTATCGGGTTGGAAAAACTATGAGGGGTCTCAATCCTGTGTACAGACTACGAACCTTTGCTGTCGGCGTCTCAGTTGTATTGATCCGGCCGTACTTCATATTTCCACCCGTAAGGTTTGGATGCAAATTTCGTTGTTTTTTCTCCTGTATCGGGTTGGAAAAACTATGAGGGGTCTCAATCCTGTGTACAGACTACGAACCTTTGCTGTCGGCGTCTCAGTTGTATTGATCCGGCAGTACTTCATATTTCCACCCGTAAGGTTTGGATGCAAACTTCGTTGTTTTTTCTCCGGTATCGGGTTGGAAAAACTATGAGGGGTCTCAATCCTGTGTACAGACTACGAACCTTTGCTGTCGGCGTCTCAGTTGTATTGATCCGGCCGTACTTCATATTTCCACCCGTAAGGTTTGGATGCAAATTTCGTTGTTTTTTCTCCTGTATCGGGTTGGAAAAACTATGAGGGGTCTCAATCCTGTGTACAGACTACGAACCTTTGCTGTCGGCGTCTCAGTTGTATTGATCCGGCAGTACTTCATATTTCCACCCGTAAGGTTTGGATGCAAACTTCGTTGTTTTTTCTCCGGTATCGGGTTGGAAAAACTATGAGGGGTCTCAATCCTGTGTACAGACTACGAACCTTTGCTGTCGGCGTCTCAGTTGTATTGATCCGGCCGTACTTCATATTTCCACCCGTAAGGTTTGGATGCAAACTTCGTTGTTTTTTCTCCGGTATCGGGTTGGAAAAACTATGAGGGGTCTCAATTCTGTGTACAGACTACGAACCTTTGCTGTCGGCGTCTCAGTTGTATTGATCCGGCCGTACTTCATATTTCCACCCGTAAGGTTTGGATGCAAACTTCGTTGTTTTTTCTCCGGTATCGGGTTGGAAAAACTATGAGGGGTCTCAATCCTGTGTATAGACTACGAACCTTTGCTGTCGGCGTCTCAGTTGTATTGATCCGGCCGTACTTCATATTTCCACCCGTAAGGTTTGGATGCAAACTTCGTTGTTTTTTCTCCGGTATCATGTTGGAAAAACTATGAGGGGTCTCAATCCTGTGTATAGACTACGAACCTTTGCTGTCGGCGTCTCAGTTGTATTGATCCGGCCGTACTTCATATTTCCACCCGTAAGGTTTGGATGCAAATTTCGTTGTTTTTTCTCCTGTATCGGGTTGGAAAAACTATGAGGGGTCTCAATCCTGTGTACAGACTACGAACCTTTGCTGTCGGCGTCTCAGTTGTATTGATCCGGCAGTACTTCATATTTCCACCCGTAAGGTTTGGATGCAAATTTCGTTGTTTTTTCTCCTGTATCGGGTTGGAAAAACTATGAGGGGTCTCAATCCTGTGTACAGACTACGAACCTTTGCTGTCGGCGTCTCAGTTGTATTGATCCGGCAGTACTTCATATTTCCACCCGTAAGGTTTGGATGCAAACTTCGTTGTTTTTTCTCCGGTATTGGGTTGGAAAAACTATGAGGGGTCTCAATCCTGTGTACAGACTACGAACCTTTGCTGTCGGCGTCTCAGTTGTATTGATCCGGCCGTACTTCATATTTCCACCCGTAAGGTTTGGATGCAAACTTCGTTGTTTTTTGTCCGGTATCGGGTTGGAAAAACTATGAGGGGTCTCAATCCTGTGTACAGACTACGAACCTTTGCTGTCGGCGTCTCAGTTGTATTGATCCGGCCGTACTTCATATTTCCACCCGTAAGGTTTGGATGCAAACTTCGTTGTTTTTTCTCCGGTATCGGGTTGGAAAAACTATGAGGGGTCTCAATCCTTGTACAGACTACGAACCTTTGCTGTCGGCGTCTCAGTTGTATTGATCCGGCAGTACTTCATATTTCCACCCGTAAGGTTTGGATGCAAACTTCGTTGTTTTTTCTCCGGTATCGGGTTGGAAAAACTATGAGGGGTCTCAATCCTGTGTATAGACTACGAACCTTTGCTGTCGGCGTCTTAGTTGTATTGATCCGGCCGTACTTCATATTTCCACCCGTAAGGTTTGGATGCAAACTTCGTTGTTTTTTCTCCGGTATCGGGTTGGAAAAACTATGAGGGGTCTCAATCCTGTGTATAGACTACGAACCTTTGGGTACCGAGCTCGAATTCGTAATCATGTCATAGCT